ATCCTATGGTGAACTTTGGTTTGGAGTCCATTTCTACCAGTCATGCATTGCAGCTACAACATAGAGGAATAGGTAGACTTGCAGTCAGTAGACTAGAATTCAAGCCCTGACTCTCTCACTTATTAGCTCTATTTTTTGGCCAGTTACTTAAATTCTATGACTCCCAATTTCATGAGGTCTTGTAGGTAAATCAGTAACCACCATCCCAGTTTGGGGTCTTGAGCTTGTTTACATTGTGCCCCCCACCCACATCCCTCAAGTACAAGTGCAGAGGCTTTCCTTTGGGGTTACAGTTGTCTCAGAGATATATGTCTATGGTGGGCCAGGAGGTGACAATGGAGATGTCCATCAGCAATAAGGATATTACAAAGTGATCTGACATATCTTAGTCTAACTCCTGCTAGGCAGTCAATGGGTGAGGTGCTGATACAGTTATTCATGTTCTCTAAAATTTCATTTGGCTCCTACAGAAATGAGTTTACTACTTGGGTTGCTGGAGGTTTTCCTCTAAACAAGAGTGTGGACAACAGTAGAGACCTCAAATCTCCCTACCACAAGGCCTCATGTTCTACTGTTAATTGTGGAGAAGTGAATTGGTTGACTAACTGAAAACCTGAATTTGTTTTCTTTTGTGTATTCTTTAAAACACTGATTAGAGCTAAACGTTTCTTCCTTCTAGGCTCCCATTACCCACGGGAAGTTCCAGTTTAGCACTCATCAGTCTGCCAAATATAATAATTTGTAAATATAGATATATCTGTCTCCCTCGATGAGATGAATTGACACAGTGGCTGCAACAATGGGCTCAAGCATAGCAAGGATTGTGAGGATGGTGCAGGATTGGGCAGTGTTTTGTTCTGTTGTACGTTGGGTCACTATGAGTCAGAACCGACTGGACAGCACCTAACAATAACAACAACAACATCTCCCTTCTAGAGGACAGGAACTTAGCATTTTTCACCACTCTATTCCCAGCCCCTAGCTCCAGATCTAACATTGCTCAGTGTTTACTGAATTCTTAAATCAGACTAAATGCGTGCCAGGTTTGTTCATAGAGTGCTAAATGTTTTTGTCTGATTTGATTTAAGTCTAGAGAAGGTGGATACTTAAAATCTTAGCTGATTCCTGCATGAATAAGAATGTATGGCTTGACCTGTTGCTAAAGATCCTTCCTCTGGGGTCTCCACTGGCTAAAGCTGGGATCCCACGTGATCCTTTCACACAGGACCCAGATTTCTTCCTCTTAGAAAAGGGTTGGGATTGAGGCTTCATTTTATTTTGGAAGTTTGAGGCCCTGGAGAATTAGAAGTCTTGTTTAGCTTGATTTCTCTGGTATGAGTTGCCCTTGTGTGGTGATATATACTCTGTCTAAACACAAAATGTCAGCCAACGTGGGGACCATGGTCTCAGGGAACATCTAGCTCAATTGGCGTAACATAGTTTATAAAGAAAATATTCTACATTCTGTGGTGAGTAGCTTCTAGGGTCTTAAAAGCCTGTGAGCAGCCATCTAAGATACTCTACTGGTCTCACCTCTTCAAGAGCAAGGGAGAATGAAGAAAACTAATGATACAAGGGAAAGATTAGTTCAAAGGACTAATGGACCACAACTACCATGGCCTCCACCAGACTGAGTCCAGTACAACTAGATGGTGTCTGGCTACTACCAGTGACT